CCTTTTTTCTTTCTTCTTCTTCTTCTTTTTTTTTTTTTTCTTGTCCTGTCGCACCCTCTTCTTTCTCTTGTCGCTATCGAGACTGCTTTCCTCGTGTCGTTTTCTTTTCTCTCGACGACGCTCCTCAACCTTCGAAACGTCGCACGTTTAGGCCACGGATTCTCATGTTTATAAGAAACTTATCGGAAGATGAGAAATTTTCGCGAAAGGTGTCAATCAAGAATTTGCCATTCTGTACGTATTTCAATCTTCGCGTGACGAGAAATCACAAGAGAAATAGCAAAAAATTATCGAAGAAAATACACCCCCTATAATAAATTTAATAATCTTGTTTCAAATTTGTTTCGAAATTGGAAAAATTGCATGGTGAAATTAGATACTTTTAGATGTTAATTTATGATCATATAACGAAAAATTAGTTTAAATTTATGTAATTAGTTTAAAATTATGTAACAATGAATCTTTTGGGTGTATTAAAAATTGTATTGTAAAATATACACGCAATTATATTATCCATTGTTACTAAAAATAACTTATTAGAAATAAAGAGTGTCCTAAGATCTTTGAACAGGAGTGTATCTTTAAATTTTTGAAAGGAACGATGTCTTCGAATTTTTCTTAAATTTCGTCACAAATACTCCAAATAATCGGTTAAATATAATATATTCATAAAAATATGAATTTCTCTAAGTATCCACAATTTATACGTGATTATTTCTTCCTCTTTTTATTTTAAACGTGATTTTCTTTGATTTTTCATTCGATTTTTCTTCTTCTTTTTACCTCTTCTTTTTTTTACAAGTGTTGCTTTACTCTTTGCTCTCACGTCGACCATTAATACGTGTTATTAATTAATGTTGGACAATGAATTTCAAGTAAAACATAAATTTACATAAATATTCACAATCAACGATTATTTCTTCCTCTTCTTTTTTCTTTTTACTATAATTCACCTTGATTTCCATTCGATTTTTCCCACTCTCCCTTTTGAGATTGTTTCTTTTCTAGTCTCTCGCTTTTATTAAAAGTGTTCTTTTATTTATAAGTAAAACATAATTTGTACATTTTGTATCACGGTTAATTAATTAATTTTAATAATTATAATTATCTCGAAAATAGATTATCTAAATATATATGAATATATTATTATTTTTGTTGAATAAAAAAAATAAATGTATATTTAGAAATTGAATGTTCTTCGTATTTATTAATGTCTAGATTTTTCTTTAAATAAATTTAATTTATATATGCCACGTCGAGTGTTAATATTATTAATTAACGTTGGACCCGCGAGATATCACTTCCAATGAATTTACATAAATATTCACATTCACGATTATTTCTTCCTCTTCTTTCTTTTTTTTTTTATTATAATTTACCTAGATTTCCATTCGATTTTTCCCTCTTCCTTTTTGAAAGTGTTTCTTTTCTAGTCTCTCGCTTTTTTTAAAAGTATTTTTTTATTTATAAGTAAAACATAATTTGTACATTTTGTATCACGGTTAATTAATTAATTTTAATAATTATAATTATCTCGAAAATAGATTATCTAAATATATATGAATATATTATTATTTTTGTTGAATAAAAAAAATAAATGTATATTTAGAAATTGAATGTTCGTCGTATTTATTAATATCTAGATTTTTTTAAAAATAAATTTAATTTATATATTATATATAATGTAATTTATATATTATATTTATAATTTATATGCCACGTCGAGCGTTAGTATTATTAATTAACGTTGGACCCGCGAGATACCACTTCCAATGAATTTCAAGTAAAACATGAATTTACATAAATATTCACAATCAACGATTATTTCTTCCTCTTCTTTTTTTTTTTTTTCTTTTTACTATAATTCACCTTGATTTCCATTCGATGTTTCCCACTCCCCCTTTGAGAGTGTTCCTTTTCTAGTCTCTCGCTTTTTTCAAAAGTGTTCTTTCACTCGTCGATGCCACGTCGAGCGTTAATATTATTAATTAACGTTGGACCCGCGAGATACCACTTCCAATGAATTTCAAGTGGTAACGCCGTCGCGACGGATTCACGTCTCTTCGTTAGGCGTGTGTAGTAATTAATGACATGTTTCGCCGACTCGTCGCGTTCTTTTTATTCCCTCTGTTTCTCTCTTCTTTTTCTTCTTCTTCTTCTTCTTCGTGGCCCCTTTTTCCCAACGTGGTTTTGGAGTGCACATATTGAAAATACCGAGTCGTGTTTCGTTCGATTCTGTATACGCGTTTGCTTTCGCGGATTTCGGAATATTTTCTGCCCTTTTGAGTTTAGAAGTGCCGCCGAGCATTGGAGGGCAACACTCCAGCGCTATTTCGAAATATTGATTTCTCCCATTTAATTTGTGCCGCTTCTTCATTTTTAACCTATGCTCGAATTTCCACGGTTCGAATTTCTCGGTCTCGTCTCGGCGAAATCTTTCATTTGACAATCGTGTTTCATTTCAGAGAAGCGTTTCAAAATCTTGAAAGTCTTTCGAGAAATCTTATTTCAGAGATCGTCAGAGGTGAAACGTTCTTTCTTGATACAATTGAGTCGAGAACAATTGAAGAAACGCGATTTAACAAAATATTGCAATTTTACTTATATTATTTAAATTTCTCGATATTGTTATTAAATTTTAATATTAATTATTAATGTTAAAATTTAAAATATTGCAATTTAATGATATAATATTTTAAATATTTTAAAATATTGCAGTTTAATGATATAATATTTTAAATATTTTAAAATATTGCAATTTTATGATGTTATTGATGATATTATTATTAAATTTATTAATACTATTTTATTTAATAATAGAATGAAGTTGGTAAAATTTATTACGCCACGGCACTTTCATTATGACACCGATTAATTAAATTTGAGTTTAATACTTTCACACAATTTCAGAAATAAGGCATAACCACTATAATATATTTCTCATGCTTTACAAAATTATTTATATGTTAAAATTGAAACAGATTTATTTATATGTATTTCTATATTAAAATAGAAAAAGATTTATTTCTTCCATAAACGGAATCATTTATTTAAAATACGTTCTATCAGAATTCTCTAAGTAACGTTATAGTAACGCGTCTATTTGACCAATCGTAGCGCGAATTAAATTAATTTAAGAGGCGAAGAAATGCATAATTACACGCGTGAGATGAATTTTTTTTCTAGAAAGGATGGAAAAATGTAAGTTGTGCAAATTTCGTTACATCGGAACTAGAACTTTGTTCATTCATCCCCGCGATTTTTTTTTTTTATCCAATTAATTTCTTTTGCAGAGCTGTTTTACATCTTCTACGCGCAGCAATAATTTTTTTTTTTTTTTCAATCGTATACTGCAGTCGCGTCAATTCTGAGTTTTCAATGATTGGAACGACGTTAAATTTTCATCCACCGAGACTTTGCATTATGCATCACAGTATTGCAAATTTCATTATGAAATTTGCTAACAAACTTATCAATATTCATTATACAATCTATACTTTGGTCGAACTTTGGAAATTATCATCCAACGGGTGAAATAAATTGGAATCTGTCCGTGTCAAATATAAAATACTCTTCTTTCAGATGTACATTTTCTTGAAAACTTTGTCTGCTCTCATTTCTGCGTCGTTTAAGTTTAAATTTATTAATTTGAAACTCTCTCTCTCTCTCTCTTCTCAACTCTCCTCTTTTGCTTAATTACACTTTAAAATCGTCGTCGTTTAATTCATTGATATTTAATGACACTCGATCATTATTATTTGATGTTGAAGTTATTAACCCATTTGCGTCACTATTCCGTGACTTAAATTGCACACGTCCACGTGTATTATAATTTATCAAATTTCGATTTAAATATTTACTATTCTGTATTGATACTAACTAATTACGATGAAATGTCAGAACACGAGAGTGCACAATATTATGTGGAGAGCTCTTAACCTAATCACTGTAAGTCACTTTTGATTGAGGAACAATATGTGCTACGAAAATACCCTTTCTTTTGACAAGATCATAGTCATTGCTACGTAATCACTGTGACATAATTAAAATATTTAAAACTTAAAAATTAAAAATAACATTACCGTTTGAATTATTCGAAATAGTAGCTAAACTGTTCCATCGATTGATAGTTTTAATAAAAAAAAAAAAAAGATACTAAAGCTGCATGATAAAAATAGTTTTTAATAAGAAGCCACTCACAGTAATTTACTTCCCAACCTTTCATACATGAATAAATATAAAATTCTTAATCGCTGCTCATGAATTATTCCGCGTTTTAGAGAGGGTATTTCTCTGCATGATGCAAATGTTCGTTAATTTAACGAGGAATAATTTGAAAAAGTTGTTAATTAATATTAACTAATCAATATTTATATTATATAATTATACTATTAATTAATAATTATATCATATACGTTACAATATCATATTTGAAAATTAACGTTAAAATCGTGTTTTATATTATATAATAAATATTTATGTTATATATACGTATATAATCATATTTGAAAATATACGTTAAAATCATATTTTATATTACATAATAAATATTTATATTATATATTATATTACTAATTAATAATTATATCACATACGTTACAATCATATTTGAAATTATATATAATTATATTTTTCAAAATTAAAACTATAACCTTCGATTATTCAATTAAATATTTTAACCAAATTTAATTTCGAATATTTCGTTGAATTAGTTTAATATATTATACATGTCAGAGAAATTAACTCTAAACAACATGAGATTCCAATGAACGACATTGACATCTCTGCAATCTTACTGCCTCCTCTTCAACATCCCCTAAAGAGCTCAATCGAAAGAAAAAAAGGAAAGAGGAGGAGGAGGAAAAAAAAAAAGGAGCACACCGCCAATAACGGGCAGACTATCATCGTCGTACCGTATTCCAACAAAAGTAACACGACGCACGTGCAATCATACGAAGCGCTGAATACTGAACGTATGAATTTCCCTCTTTCCGTTTCAGATACCGTCGTACGATCTGAACTCTCATTGTCTGTGCGTCGCCGGCGAAGTATATTGTTGGTGGCAGAATTACAATCCGAGCACCGATCCCTCCGCCGGCCCCTCGTTCCTCCCATCGACGACGATAGAAAGTAATTACACGCCGTCGCTGGAGGGAAGCACGGATGCCGTCGACAGTTTGGAAGCTTCCGGTGATCCGGCGGAGGAGCCGTCTGTCGAGCAACAGGGATACGCGGAGATTAACACGACCTACTCGACTACCTCGCAGCCAGCGCCGACTACGTGTCTCGTGATGGGTAATAGATCAGTCGAGCTCCTTTCGGGCTCGAATTCTTTAACCACTTCCGCTGGAATGACGTGCCACGCGCGTCGGGAATTTTTTTTTCTTCCGGAAGTTGCAACAGTTGCTTTCTCAGTTTTAAGTATATTCAAGAGAAAACGAATAATAAATTTGCTGCTTCTCGGTCATTTCTGTCCGAGTGATATCGTAAGGGACGGTAATTATACGGTTTAGTCACTCGTTATGGTCCGCAATCAGTTGCCAGCGCAACTCGCCGTGGTTAACTCGCCGCCCCGGATCGATTCACACCTGGGTGTTTCTCTGTATTTTCGTATATGTACAGCGAATCGTGTTAATGTTAAACAGAAACTAACATAAAATTTCCATCAGGGACAATGAAGTAGAGAAAACAACAGAAAACTTTATGTAATACAATGAATAAAATATAATAGGGTAAAGAAGAATAATATAATATAATATAATAGAGTAGAATATTATAATAATAATATAAAAATATAACATGAGTTTATAATAAATAATATAATATAATAGAATATATTATATTATATATTATATATTATATAATATATAAATATATTAGAATATATTATAATATAATGAGGTAAATTTTATTTATACATTTTACGAAAAATTGTTTAAATCTCTAAAAATACTCAAGTTGATCAATGTTAATCAATTAGGGTTACTCAAAGAACAATTGAACACTTTTGTACATATATATAAAACATACTACATTCAGATTGATCAATATTGATGGAAACATAATTCTGCAATATATTTTATGTATATATGTAAATCTAGATTCAAGTTGATCAATGTTAATTAATTAGAGTTACCTAAAAAACAATTGAATACTTTATACATTATATATATATAAAAGTTCATTCAGGTTAAACAATGTTGATGAATTAAAGTTAACAAAAACACAATTCTATACTTCAGTAAATCATACTACATTCGGATTAATATTTAATTAATCAAATTAGGATTAATTAAAAAACGATTGTATATATATTTGAAATTATACTCTTTCATATATATTTTAAATTATACTACATTCCTATATATTACATTCCTATATATATTCCATATATATTACATTCCTATATATATTCCATATATATTACATTCCTATATATATTCCATATATATTTTAAATTATACTACATTCCAATTATACTCTTTCATATATATTTTAAATTATACTACATTCCGATCAATCAATATTTAACTTATACATTTTTATACATATATACATTTATACATTTTTCTCGAAGGATAAAAGTCAAAAGTTGATCAACGTTGATTTAGAAAATCCGTCTGTACAATACTCAAAAAAAAAAAAAAAAAAAAAAAAAAAAAAAAAAAGAAAAATAGGAACATGCTTCTTCGCTAAATAACGTGTCCAAATATGTTTCCCCCTTTCAGTTTGCAATCGTGATATAGAAACGCCATTTCCAACGCTTTTTCCAATTTATAGATAGTACGAAATATAAAATTCTGTGCCCGGGCGGGCACGGAACTTTGATTGCAGGAAGGGAATACCGTGAAGGCGAGGTACTTCCGCACTCGACCGGAAACTGCATTGAATGCAGCTGCGGATCCGAAGGTCGCGTCGAGTGTTCGCCACGGGACTGTGTGGCCCTTCGACCCGAGATACCAGTTGCACCAGATATACCGGACGCACCGGACGGCGATTTCGAAGTGTTCAACCTTGCCAGGGACCGAGGAATCGACGAGAGCTTCTAAAATAATCGATCATCTGTTTCTCATGAATTTTTCTTTTTGAGAGGACATCCGACATTCATGTAATCGCGTCAAATAATCTCTGACTGTGAAGCGTTTCTTTTTTTATTTTATTTGAAATTTGTTGATCGATATGAATCGTCGAAGATCGACTAATTTTAATTGTATCGGTTTTACATGAAATTGTGATTTTTATTGTGACTTTTAATAGAATTTTAATGGAAATGTCATTAAACAAATTATTTGGATATTTTATTCGTAATATTTATATCTATAATTTACTATATTTAAAATATATATAATTTACTATATTTTACTATATTTATATCTATAATTTACTATGTTTGAAATTTATATTTATTGTAATCGTCCAGGTAGTGAATTTCAACAGTGTACATTTTATAGCAGTATAGAATTTATCTAATTTCATAGTAAATATTGTGGCTACGGTACGTTAATGAATAAGAAATGTCAAAAAACGGGGCTAGCAAACTATACTATAGTTCATTGACATTCGCGTTAAAATAATTTTTTTTAGATATTTTAAGGAACATATCATTAATCGTAACTAGTTAAGCTACGGTAGAGTAAAAATTAAATACAATTTCATATCGATCAACAATGCGTTAATTCACCAAACTTGTTTAGTCGAACGCTCATGCCGATCCTTCAATCGTACGAAACGATTTCCTTATTGAAAGCGATTCCGCCGGCAGACCAGAGAGATCATGTATTTTTAACGAACGTGAAGAATTATCGAAACATTTGAAAAGTTACGCGACTTCATGGAGAAAAAAATATCTTCTCTATCGGGAGGTGATTACACGGTTGAAGGATCCGTAGATACTAATTAATTTAATTTATATACCTTCTTATCCGTGTTCTCTCGAGCCTTAAGCTTCCCTCCTTTTGTTCGAAACACTGTTTCCGGTTGAAAGAGTTCGGCGAAAGGGGAAAGAGAGAGCTCGAGCCCGGATGAAAATCGATTGCCGATAACGAAACAAAAGCGAAGTCTTAAACGCTTTCTTTTCACGTACTTGAATAATTAAACGAGACCGTAGATTAATATGTCACGTAAATAAATAAATAAATAAATAAATAAAAATATATATATATATATACATAAAGTTATATATACGAAAAAAAGTAGAGGACACTTAACTGCAAAGGAAAGCTACATTATCAGCGAATTACAACGATGATCGAGAGAAAAGAAATGACCAAGGTTCAATTTTTCGAGTCAAGTAGCTTAAAGTTCATCCAGTCACGAAGCCGAATAACGTATTTATGTTGAATTAGTTAGTGATTTAGTGAGATCGATAGGCAACTCAAAGCCTGGAAATGCTCTTCCGACATTCATCAGCGAACTGTAATTTACTACCCCGCAGGATTTCTAAAACGTTTCGGCAGCGCGGGCCTAATTTATCACAAGCGATGGATCCTCAAGAACAATCCATCTATATATATATATATATATATATATATATACACGCCGATTAATTACGAGCTACATAAGTTTTATCTAGCTAGTAAGTTCGTTTACAAATTGCGTTTCTTTGACAGTATTAACTGCTGCTATCGTTTCGACCATCCGATTGCAACTTACAATCACGACTAAGAAACGAGTCGACGAGTCATGAAAGAATGATGTTCCTCACGCTAGAAACCTCCAGCGCCATGGAAGTACGCGAACGATAGGCTATAATAGCGATTAAGCGCTCGTTCCTTAAGAGAATTCGCTTATTTTTTTTTTTTTTTTTTTTT